GGGGGGGGGGGGTGATTGCTGGACCAGTAAGGATTTTGAATCATATTGTAAAATGTTGTGGGTGACCCTTTATGTATGTCCTTCATCATGATAGTGTTCACCAAACTTGATATGTCATTAATTTCATTACGTCTTTCTTTTTCGAGATTAATTTAATCAAAGATGATGATCATCATTCCATCATTTATTCTACGACCGAATATGATGTCGTTTCTCAAGAGTTCGAGAAAGGATAAATTTCACTAGAATAGAACATGTACCATCGTTATTGAAATATAAATACTTAAGTTATAACGTGTATCTCTAATAGTTTAAGTTTTTAAATAAGATGATTGTTTAACATGATATCAAATCAAAAAGTTCTGTATTCGAATCTCGCCACCACCCCAATAATTAAAAGATTTTCAAACAAAATTCAACTCGAGTTCGGGTTTCAATCACCTACCCATCTAATATGAAGAACAAAGGATAGTAGTTTAATCAAATTTGCTTTAATTACACCAATCATGAGGAGCTAGAAGATGAGATCAGTTGGCCCCAAAATTCAAGCCAAGACAAACTAAAAATGCTACAAAAACATATCATGTGAAGTGGGAATCTACTTTTAGCCTGGCTTTCCTTTTGTTCCTTGCAATTCCAGCAAATAGGTATGACAGAAACCAAAGTTTAGTTTGCCTTGTACCTCCACAATAATGTATACTATTATAGGTACCTTACCTACACCTTCAGTTGGATCCAGTTGCTAGTGTCTCACTGCAATATTACAAATAATCCATGCCCATGTGCTTGAACCACTAATTATCAACTACTAGTTATATTACTACAATCGAGATAATTGATAACTCTAATATTTTATAAAAAAAAAAAAATAAGTTAATTCGGTACATGAGACTTTTGTTTTTGAATGACCTAAAAAAGACTAATTATCAACTAGATGTGATTTTTTTTTTGCACTCTTGGCTGCTCATCAGGGGCTGTCAATAGAGTATAAGTAAAGCTGAGATTATAAATGAGGCGGAATAAGCTAATCAAATTATAACCAAACATAAATTCTGGCATAACGTATACCCATCATGATACTGCTCATTATCGAACTTAAAAAGAACCACATTGGCTATAAAGTGCTACTCTACCCCTTGAGGGGTAGTACGGTTGCCTATGTATTAGCATATTACCATAGGATGCACAAGCCTGGAGAAGAAAATAGACCCCTCGGACAGAGTAGGGGTACCACCACGGTTTGAACCTTCCTCGCCATGAGATGAAGGGGCGTAATAAAATATTTAAATTATATATTACACTTATTATTTTCTCTTACAACTTAAATTTTTGGACGAATTCAATGCCTGACACTACATGCAAAAAAAAAATAAAGAAAATAGAACTGTAGATAGTGTGTGACGGATTTGCACCAGAACTGGAATTAACTAGAGGGTCAGTATGCGACAAGAGATCCCCTTTCAACAAGAGTGAAGAATGACCCGACCCGGCTACATGAAGACAGATAGAGTGGCGGGGCAATGGAGGAAACAATCTTTATCCATTTTTCATTGTTGATACTTTTTTGTTAAGGGCCTAAAGAAGCTGACATGAGCTATTTTGCCATACTAGTGTGTGTGGTAGGAAAAGGAGTGGCAACAAAACTTACCCAGCCAACAATCTTTGCATACCATGTGCATTTTTGTTCTTTTGGCTTGTCAAACCACAAAATTCTAAGAAGTTTGCATCATACACTTATGATCAATAGGAAAAAAAAATCCTCAGGGAGGTTTACATCATGTAGAATGGTGGGTCCACAATCTAACCCATATGTCTTTTGAGGCCCCAAAAGAAGGAAATATGTACCTTCCCAGCAATTATTGCTGCACTACAAGAGAGCCAAATAGTTGGTACTCGGTAGTTTTGAAATAACACTCAACTCTCTTGAAGATGCTAAATCAATCTTGACCTAACCTTTTCACATAATTGAGGTTAAGACTATATTGACATTTTAGCTAATGAGTTCATTTTTGCATTCATTAGTGTCANTGACCTAACCTTTTCACATAATTGAGGTTAAGACTATATTGACATTTTAGCTAATGAATTCATTTTTGCATTCATTCGTGTCGTAACACGACTTAATCCTAATCTATCTCGTCAAATTGAAATAAATAAGTCTTGTCTTGGAATTAGTTGGAAGAATCTATACCCACTCTTTGAATTTGTCAGTTGTCTATTGGATTCGTACTC